GCTGGCTGTTGGGATCCCCGGCACTCTATCACTTTGATTTTTTCTCAAGCATTATTCTTTATATTCATGAAAGTTACAGAGTTAGTAACATTATGCAGTTACATACTACAGTTGCAATTGTGCAATGTCAGAAGCTTTGTGTAGCTCTTAAGAAAATCCACTGTTTAAAGTTACTGTTATGGGAGCACGCCCAGGAGCAGCAGAGCTGATGAAACATTGTGGTTGTTTAGCAAGAGAGTTTCTTTATTCCCAGAAGCTGTGTGCATAATATCAAGGTCTAGGCTGAAAAGACTCTAGCACAGAGCCTCTTTATGGAGGGCATTACCATAGCAACTAGGCATCCTGCACCTTTGAACAGAAACTTGGTGCTGTGGCACCAAGCATGCCACAGCTATGAAGCCATCAGGGATCCTAATTTCAGGCACTGCTCTCCCATTCACTGTCACTGTTCTCCACAGAGCCATATGTGCTTGTGATGATAAAGCAYGGGGAGGCCACCAATTGATTTGACACAACCACTTTTTCAATCTTTTTCTCCAAGATGTCCTTCATGATCTTGCACAGGTTTTCAAACTTTGTCTTTTTTTCTTCCTGTTTCTTTTCTTCTTCATCCTCTGGAAGTTTCAAGCCCTCTTTGGTGACAGACACTGAAGTCTTCCCCTCAAATTTCTTTAGATGTAGGACACAGCATTCATAGATGGGCTCAATCAGGTAGGCCACTTTCAMATCACTATTCCACTGATGCTCCACAAAGGCAAAGTTAGCTACCTGATCTTTGGTCTCACCTGTGATATGGTMGATGTGTTTCTGGTTTTACTTCATTCTGGTGCAACAGTCCTTGAGAGGAACCATTTTATCCCCAGAAGCAGACATCTAGTATCCTAACAGCTCTGAAAGCTTTCAATTTTGAGAGTCTTCATATATTCTAAGCTTTACATTTTTAAAAAATTGCTTATAGGATTTTTTGTAGTACTCTTTATTTTCTGCCAGTTCAGTGAACAGTTCTAAGCATTTTTTGACCAAATTCTTTCTAATGACTTTCAAAATTTTGCTCTGTTGCAACATTTCATGGGAAAAATTTAGAGGAAGATCCTCGAAGGCCACCACTTCTCTAATGAAGTTCAGATATTCAGGGATTAGCTCCTCAGAGTTATCCATGATGAAAACTCTGCATATATACAACTTAATGCTGTTCTTTTTCTTCCTGTTTTCAAAGAGGTCAAAAGGAGCATGTCTTGGGACAAAAAGAAGAGCTCTGAGTTCTAACTGTCCTTTGACGGAAAAATGTTTCACTGCTAAGTGATCTTCCCAATTGTTGGTCAAGCCCTTATAGAACTCTCCATATTCTTTGTTAGTGATATTGTCAGAATTTCTGGTCCAAATGGGCTTTGTTTTGTTGAGTTCTTTGTGACTGAGGTACTTCTCCTTAATCTTCTTCTTCTCCTTCTCCTTCTTTTTCCCACCATCTTTCTTTTCTTCATCGTCAGAACATCTTCAATTTCAGTTTGTCTCCTTTTTTCTTTTTTCCTCCTCTTTATCTTCATTTTCTTTAGCATCCTTATCACTGACTTCATTATCAGGTTCCTTCTCCACTGAGTAATGGAATAGCTAATAAACTGGGAATTTGTTTTTTCATAATCTTCTTTATTCTTCTTTCCATCAAGTACTCAGTTGGGTCTTTCAGATGTAGGATAACCTTTGTCCCATGACCCATTGGTTCCTCCGTGTCAGTCCTGACAGGGAAGGAGCCCCCTGCAGAGGATTCTGAGGCATACTGCTCCTCATCGTTGTTTGGGGATTACAGCCACTTTCTTGGCAACCAAATACGCAGAATAAAAACCAACACCAAACTGGAGATGTCTGCGCCAGCCTGCAAAACCTCCATGAATGCTTTGGTCCCAGACGTGGCATAGTACCAAGCTTACTGATCAATTTGGCCTTGGTCATTCCAATTCCAGCATCCACAATCCTGAGGGTTCAGTCTTGTTTGTTTGGAATGAGATTGATGTGAAGCTCCTTCCCGGAGTCCAGCTTACTGGGATAGGCCAAGCTTTCATATCTGATTTTGTCCAGGTYGTAGGATGAATTGGAAATCAGCTTCCACAGGAAGAGCTCTTTGTTCAAGTAGAAAATGTTGATGATCAATGACAGCAGCTGGGCAATCTCTCCCTGGAAGGTGAAGGTCTCCACCTCCTCCTCCTCCATGGGCTGGTTGTGGGTCTGGGTGTCCTTGGGCATCTCCGTTGGGCAACCACACAGGCTCCATGGCCTAGCAGTACCAGGACTCTGAAGCAACTTTCAGGCCAGGTTTTGAAGAAGTAGAGTTGAAGTTAATAATTTCTTTACCAAGATCACTACCCTGACAAAGAGATGGATTGATTCCTATGTTCCCACATTAGGGTTAGAACCTGGCATCCCGAAGAGAATGTAATTGGGAAAACTTGACATTCTGATTATAGTAACAAGTGAACTAAATTTCAAAATAAAGTTTGCATTTTAAATGTTCTTATAAATACTTTATTGCTGGTTTAACTATATTATGTGAGAAAGAAGCAATATTTTGAAACTAAACCAAACCACAAAAAAAATCACATGATAGTATGAAGAACTTTTCCACTGAAATAAGACAAATATCTTTTGCCAGTCTCTAGTCCTGATTATTGTAATCATTATTCTTTTATTATAAATTCCTGGTATTCTCTCAGTATCAAAACACAGATATGTCAGTAAAGAGACTATATTGATAAACATAAATGCCCTGATCCCCAAGTTATTTTCTCCTTCTGGTATGTATTATTTCTATTTTATAACAAAATGGGTATTCTAATATCTTTCCAATGCCATAATAACTTTGCCAGAGTGGAAAACAGGTTAAAAAAGAAGACATTTGTTAAACAAGCAAAACCTTGTTTATAGATGTGGTGTTGAAAATGAGCTAGCTGGTAGGTAATCTTTATACCTTACCTAKTGTTTTCATCCAGAAAATATACTTGTTTCTAATACATGGCAAATAATAGCATGTAAACTAAATCTCTTTTCTTTTTTTCAGCTTTTTTTTTTWATGTGAGTGAGGGGAACCTGGGAGGCATGATCTACTTATCATCTGACCCTTTTGGGTGGGATATAAGGTAGGTAAACAGTGAYGGAGGATAGGAAACTCCAGAAAAGAAAGGTGCTTGTGTCATAAAAGATGGGAAGTTTAGCCATTACCAGGGTATCTATTTGCCTTTCTCCATAGTTTGAATTCATCTAAATCTTATGAGAAATTATCCAGGACAGAGTATCATTGAGTTTGTTTTTTAAATTGATCATTTTTTAAATGCTAGTGCTTCAAAAATAGAGTTGACAAGAAGCTGGTGGAAAAGGACATATTTGTTTATAAGCTTTTTCATTAAACTTTYCTATTCTTTGCAGTTTAGAAAATGTGAGGAAACTATTTACCCCCACACTTAATATTTTCCTGTCATTTAAATGTTCTCACTATTAATATACAAAAACTTTATATTTAGAATTTTATTAATTATAATTTTACACTAATTGAATAAGTGCTTAACAAAAATTTACCTTTCCATTTTCAGTGAAAAAAAGTTTGCCAAGAAATTAATTAAGTGAATTTTTAATGGCATGTCTACCTAATTAGGTAAATGAATTGTTTTCACTCAGCTTAGGAACACTCTAAACATAATATACTGTAATTGCTATTTATAAATACATAAATTAGATTTCAGGTACTTCAGTAATTTAATTAAAATCATTTCTGTATATTCATTAAGGCAAGGTTTTAATGTTGGATTGCTTAGTCAATATATATATAAGAGGTATACTTAAAATTATTATATTTAAATTAGATATAAKTTTGGAATTTAAAAAACATTTTTAGTCATAGATGGACACAATACCTTTATTTATTTATTTTTATGTGGTACAGAAGATCGAAATCAGAACCTCACATATGCGAGGCAAGTGCTCTTTCCACTGAGCTACAACCACAGYTCAGGAATTTTTATTAGATAAGACATTTCCTATTACAATTAATAAAGTTTTACATTATCAGTTTTTGAGAGGGGAGCAAAAGATGAGAAAGATTTTGAAATAGTTAAAGAGATCAATTYATTCTTTTATAAACTCCTCATAGATAGAAAKATTACTTTAGAAGCTACTGCTATGTGTTGATGTAAAATCTTTGTAAGAGTTGAAACACTATCTCCACCCTCTAGAAAAAAGATTTAAATATCCCCCATCCCCTGAGAAAAAGTCTTAAACTTTTTCTTAAAGACTGCACTAGCRATCCTGTAAGCATTCCAAAGTAACTTCTGGGAGTTTGGTCACTTGGATTATTTTAAACGGAAAACATAGTATATATAAACATAGTATCAACCTCGAGAATACAAAAACAGTATAATAGTAGAAAATAATATTAATTAATTTTAGGACTTTAGCTGAGTTATTTGACACCTCAAATCTCAGTTTTCTAATCTATAATATGAAGAATTTAGGCTGAACAATGTGGAGGGTTACTTGTAGTTCTAAAATGACCTATAACTATAATATTACTATCATAAAACCTCAAAAACTTCCAGTATCATGTAATCTTGAAGAGTCTATTTATTGAAAACAGCACGACTTTTGAGATATGAGTTTATTCCTAAGGTTAGCTTATTGGATCAAAACATTTCATTCTCAGGAAACTACTGAGCTTGCSTGATTGTTACCATTCGAGGAAAAGCTACTTTATTCCCTGGCAGAGGAAATGAAATRTTATCTGGAAGTTTCATTCTGTAGGCATGCACATTTTAGGGAGACTTGAGGAAACCAAAGAGGCTTTTTACTATTGGTCACGATTGGTATTGATACCAAAAGATGTAATCAGTTATTTGAAGTGAGATGTGCAATACTTTCCTTCCTGGGCACAACTTAAAAAACCTTGCTTGGAAGAGAAGTTTATTTTTCATACAGGAGCTGGTGATCCTTTGGAAATGAAATTAGGTCCTYGTTGTCATGGCAACACAGGATTCCACACTCTTGTTTTTCACAATGTATGCTTCTCTAAGTCAGGATATTTATAATTGTATTGTTTCTTGGTGGTCATGCATGGTTCCTGATGTCAAGAAACTAGATCAGCTAGATGACATTCTAAGGTGCCTATCAACTTTGAATTTTAAATACATTAAGCATTCCAAAGAAAGTGATTAGAGTGTCTCTTTCAGGATGGAGGTGGGGTACTAACTTTTACTTCCTATATTAATCAGTGTATTTGGTGCTAATGATTCTAACAAGAGTTTCCTAGATGTCAGTATCTTTGTGCMATCAAGGATTAGTTTTTCTTGCCTRTGTCAGATGGAAACAGAGCAAATGTCTATCAGAAGGTGATTTGCCTCTGTTGATCCTTAAAGGATATTGGGAATCCCCCATTGCATCTCTTTCATCTGCTTGGCTATGAAGTGAAGAGAGAAAGCATGCAGAATTGAATAGATTGTTCTATGGATCTTTCTGGCATACATCAATTTTGGACACATTTCAGAACCTAACTAACTGCAAGAGGAAGCAGAGAAAGGAGTCTTCCCCAGGTCCAGAAAGAGAAAATAGGGTTGGCAAGCAGCCTGTCTCTGCCTTTTTGTTTACAAATGTGTTATGTTTAATTGGAATATCTTAGGGGAAATAGATCTCTACTTAAAATTCACTTTGAATGATGAACAGGTGGTAGCTGATGTATTAATTTAAATTTATCCTTGTTGCCTTTTCATGAAAGACTTGTTCACTTTTTATTTCTTTACAATTTAGGGTATTCTGAATTTAACCATTAAGTTTTTGTTTTTTATATTTATTGCTACCTTAGGATCTCACTTGAATTTTCAAGCTTTTCCTTTCTGTTGAAGAGAACTCCATAACTTACAAAGTAATAATCATAACAGGATGTTTGAAATTCCTTGGAGTACAGATGAACTTCATTTGAAGTAATTTAAAGTCAATTATTTTGTTCTGAAATATCACTTTTAGTTTAATTATCTGGAAATTAAAAAAGGTTCTTAATGATCTCCTCAATGTTTCTTACATCTGTGGTGAGTATATAGCCATGTGTGACCAATTAAATGTATCCACCAATACCTTGACAATTCTCCATCAGTAAATGGAGGCTATAGCCCCTCCCCTTGAACCTGGGTGARCTCTGTGACTACTTTGACAATAGAATATGCAAAAATGATACTGTTTTCATTTCTATACCTTAAAAGAATGGCAGCTTTCATTTCTGGTCTCTAAGAGTAGATGCTCTCAGAATGAAGTCACCAGATTGCAAAGGCACRTAAGGAAGTACAGAAACCTTGGATAACAGCTGTAGCTGATATGCTATTCTATAGCCAGTGTCACTTGTCAGGTGTAGTATATGAGTCATCTTGGACATTAATCGAGGAGAGCCTTTCAATGACTTCAGCTCTAGGTGCTTTCTGAATGCAATCAACAAGAGATTCCATTTAAGTAAAACTGTTGGGCTATTCAAATCAAGTCAGAAATGCAAGAGATTAGAATAAATTATTGTTATATGTGACAGTAAAAACATGGAACACCATTTTGTTCTTTATTAAAATTTTATTCCTGAAAGTCTTCTGRTACTGTAACAATGAGGTTTTTTAAAAAATATTTATWTTTTAGTACTAAGTGGACACAATATCTTAATTTTATTTTTATGTGGTGCTGAGGATCAAACCCAGTGCCTCACATGTGCTAGGTGAGCACTCTACCACTTGAGCCACAACCCAGCCCCAAACAATGAGTTTTTAAATCAATCTTTGAATATGGGACTCAGAGAAAGGAAAATCAATCTGCATTTCTTTCTAGGTTCCTATTTATCTATTTCTGTATCTGTTTATATTAGTTGCAACCTAGTTTCCATAGTCTGACAAGTGAGTGGATTCATGTTTGAGTCTGAGTGACATTGCCAAGGACTGGGTTCAATATGATGTTTTTCAAGGTTGGTAGCAGGCAATATTCTTACAGTTTTCTGGATCACTGTCATAAACTACAATTCCAGGAGCATAAACATTTAGTCGAAGTGAACATCAAACAATAGTTTGTCTCTGGTGACAATGTCAAAATGTAGTTAGTGGGAAAGCTTTTTTTTTTTCAGAGAAATTTACACTCTTGAAGCTGTGCAAGAAAGCCAGGATACAAACTTTGTCAAATAATATAAATGCAGGAGGGTCAGGCTATGTGTTGATAATGAGGTAATTCYTTATATCTCT